AAAAAAATTATTATTAAATTTAAGTTATAAAAAAATAAAATCTATGGTGTCATTCTGAGCGTCATTTTCGTCCTCAACTAAAATAGTTTTGTGCAACTAATTCCATAGCACTGACCACACTTTGAAGAACATTTAAGACCCAGTTTTCTACAAGAGCAATTTTTAGAAAACTGACTCTCTTTGCAATTGCAAAAAATTGATTTTAGTTAGGTCAGGAGGCGCCACTTTTGTTAATTGAATAGGTGTTAGATTGCCTTTTTGATCTTTCTTCCATCCATATTGTAAAGGATCTAACTTATTACAAATCCCATTGTTAAATCTAAAAAATACAACTTATAGTATTTCATATAATAGATATTTTTACAGTTACCTGAAAGTATGTCCTGACTAAATGGTGTTTTGCAGAGTTTTCAGCTAGAGGCAAATTAGCTAAATTAAAGGTAGTCTTAAGGGCTTGTCCTGATGTAATCCTATTATATAGAGTGTATCTAGTAATAACAATAATATAATAATAGATCCCGTATATAGCGTTTAACGTCTTGGGAGGGAAGGAAGGTAATGTGGCTAGCACTAAGCTGTAACCGCCTATTATTACCTCAGGATTGTGAATCCCAAGTACTCATTTAAGGTTGAGTCGACCTAGCTACCCAAACTATTTTTATTTTATTAAAAATAGACGACTGATGAACTACCGGCTGTAGGATTCGAACCCACAACCAATCGATTGGTAGACGAGAGCTGTACCTCTACACCACCGGTGTAGAGGTACCTATAGAGTGTATCTCAGATGGATAATATGTTTAATATCGCTTGGGCAGTGATATAGATTTAAAAGATAATTTAATTAGTCAACATTAAATTAGCTCTTAAAGCTAAACAAACTACACAAGCTATATCACACATATTCACCATCTGAGATACACTCTATACAATAGACTTACATCAAGACAAGCCCTTAAAAATATCTTTAATTTAGTTAATTTCTCTCCAACTGAGAACTCTGCAAAACTACATTTACTCAGGACACAGTTACCTGAAAGTATTCAGGCAACTGTATTTTTTAGATTCAAGAATATATTGGTAACAAGTTAGATCCTTTACAATATGGATGGAAGAAAGATCAAAAAGGCAATCTAACACCTATTCAATTAACAGAAGATATGGCGCCTCCTGACCTACTCAAATTAATATTTTGCAATTGCAAAGAGAGCCAGTGCTCTAAAAATTGCTCTTGTAGAAAAAAGGGTCTTCAATGTTTTTCAAAGTGTTGTCAATGCTACGGAATCAGTTGCACAAACTTTTGTATTTTAGTTGAGGACGAAAATGACGCTCAGGATGACGTCCTAGCAGATTTTATTTAAAACTTTAATTTATATATATAATATTTTTTTTAACAATAATATTATTTAATAAATAATATTTAAAAGTTATTTCTAATTGTTTTAATGCATAAATGTATACTTGTTTTATCTATATTAACGCTATACTGTTAATGCAAAAATTATAGCTGATTGGTTTAAAAATCTGGAAAATTTATAAAACGTATAGTAAAAATTGCTCTATCTCTATTACTATTTATTTTAGGAAAAAAAATGATTGAAAGTAAAATATTCTAAATTTAATTCTCTACAAAAAAGATATCTTTAGATTTTTCGAAAAAAGTTATGCAAACGGAGATATTTGAAAAAAACTAAAAAATCCAAGATGGCGGCGGTTTTTTTAAACGTCCCCCACTGGGACCGAATGGGACTTTTGAGGGGTTAAATAGGAGATCATTATCTACACATTCCCGTTGAGATCGGTTGGTTACTAATTTTTTCCACTTCAACCTCCAGATTGGGGCCTAATAATGTATAAACTGTATCCTTGTTTATGAAAGACAATAAATTTGTCGAAACGTCGACCAGGTACTAAAGAATTAACCTGAATTTTATTTTGACCTAGATCCAACTAAAAATGGCGTTAATTAAATCATTTGAATAAAAAATAACAATCTAAAATAATCTAGTAATAAAAAAAACATTATAAACTGTTGAGTATTTTTAGAAAGTTGTAAAATGTAAATATTATCACATAAATAGATGATTTGTCCAAACAAAGTCATAAAAACAATGTACTACAGTGGTTTAAAAATATTCTATCATATTATTTTCATACATAATTAAAAAAACTTTTGATTGATTTATTCAGGGAAATATCCGTATAAAAATAAGAAAAAGAATAAAGGTTAAATCTTGTAACCATTGCCGTAGGAAAAAATGCAATAAAAAATATAAAGGGTATATAGAAGTCTAAGACATGAAAAAATAATATGATCATGATTCTTAAACGAAAAGCCGATTTTTAGCGGAGGAAAGAAAATTCTAATCTTCATTTTTTGAACCTTTGTGAAATATGTCACTCAGTAAAAATTGTCAGAAAATGTCTTTTAGACTCCTTCACACTCAGGATTTTTTTAGAATTTATTGAAGTGAACTAGGGAATGCACTCCCGCTAATGCTGGATCCCGCAAATGCGGGATCCGTCTAAGATTCCGCGGGATTTATCGTGCGGGGTCCGCGGGAATGACACATTACTACTGGGTAACCGAATCGATCTCGATCGAGGTCAAACTCCTTCATTCCGGACCGATGAGTCGAGCTCGGAACCCGGGGGACCCGTTTAACTAGTACTTATTGTTAATCTAAGACTAGTACTTGTGGACAATTTCATCAAATAAACTGCCGGACATAATTATTATCGGGACAAGCAAAATTTTAGGGTAAATTTAAAGTTGAATATCTCTTGAACTAAAAAAGATTTTGGGATGCGGTTTGGGCCAGGTTATAGATGCATCTATTGTGATTAAGATGCTATGTGGTTTTCGAAAATATATTTAGCAAATTCTCGTATACAGGGTGTTTTATAAGAGAGTGAAAATTTAGTCAAGAATCTTTTTTACCGTAAATTTACGAGTTTTAAAAAATCGGAAGGAAAATTGACTTTTTTTCGAAAAATATGCATTTT